GTAAAACAGAACGGACTGCCGCGCAGTATACTCGTCCTTTTATTGATAGACGGATATCTCGCCTTCGCCAAGGTGACGTAAGTTGGCAAAAGCCAAACGAGCTTTTCGAATCCGTGCTGAGATTTCGTCAGACACCAACCCATTAGGGCTGATCAGACTTCCAAGATAAGTGAAGTTGTCAACGCGTTCGACTACTTCACTCCCTATCCTTAGTTCAGGTGTTAACGCAGACCAGTCCTGAAGCAACAACTTGCATTTAGAGGGAGAGAAGCGCATTCCAAACATCCTGGCATTGTTGCTCAGTGCTACCAGAAGACTCTGCATTTTGTCAGCGTCTTCACCAAACAGGACTATGTCATCTGCGTATTCTAAGTCGATAAGTGGACCTCCTGGATGGAGATCAATACCCGAGAACTCAGTCGACGAGAATGTTATTTCCATCAGTAGATTATGAGGAAAGTGGACAGCCTTGACGGACACCACTTGAGGTTGCAAAGGTAGATGACAGTTCGCCATAAGCTCTGACTCGACTAGTAGTGTTCGAGTAAAGAGCCTTTACAAGGTTTATGTACTTCTGAGGTACGCCTTTCAATGACAGACACTGCCACAGAATCTCGCGGTCTACCGAGTCAAATGCTGCTTTTAAGTCGAGAAAGACCACCATTGTCGGACGCCGATAAGTATGCCTGTGTTCTAGAATCTGACGAATGGTGAATATGTGGTCGATGCAGCCACGACCAGGTCTAAAGCCAGCTTGGTTCTCTCGTGTTTGCAGTTCACGAGTCTTAGTTAGGCGTCTGATAATTATCGAGGCTAGTATTTTAGATATTATATTAGTTAAACTAATCCCTCTGTGGTTGTCACAGGATGATTTTGACCCTTTCTTATATATTGGGACGATAAGTGATTGTGACCAGTTAGATGGGATAACGTCTAACTCCCAGATTTTAGCTAAAATATTAGTCAACCTAGTCGCTAAAATTGGACCACCATCCTTAAAGACTTCTGGAGCCAATCCATCTGGACCAGCTGCCCTTCCTCGTTTCAGATTAACTATAGCCTTTTGAACTTCAACGAGAGTTGGGGGACCTACTTCAATGTTCCATTCACTTTGTCTGGGAATGGAGGGTAGTTGTAGAGTAGCCCAAGGGACAACTGCTCGAGGCCGGGCGCGCACGGCCTTTTCGTGAGAGGTTTGTGACGTGTTAGCTCCGTTCTTCAAAGGGCCTTACCGCCGGAGACGGAAATCCGTGAGGTGTGCATTTTTAGGGTCGACCTTTTCTAACCCCACCCCTCCTTGTGGGAAGGCAGCACCGCTGTCATGCTGGTTGTCTGAAGGAAACACCTTACTGCTGTCACACCTCTGTACAGTCAGCAGTACGACTTCGCCTTCGGACCTTGGGTTTGTTGCTTTTAGTCTTACCGCTCTTCAACCGACCTGTCTGACATGGTAGAACCTTGAGGAACGGTTGTTCCAGCCAGTATAGCTCGGTTGCTTCATCAAGATAGGCTTACAAATCTGTCCCTTATTTCTTTCTGCAGCAAACAAGCGTCCAACATCTCCAGTTCGTCTTCAAATGACAAAGAGAATTGTTGAATTAATAGTCCGCGATCAAATTGCCACGGATGTTGGCAGTCACCGGACTTCGACAGTAGCAGCTTCATACCTGACGATGTGTTTTGCAGCACTATGCAATTCATCAAATCTGAAAAACTTCACTTGATCGTACAGGTAACTTACTCGGCCGCTAACGTACTGCCTACATACCTAGGTTCTAATATTGATGATGTATCTAATTGTATCGAACTACTTAATTAACATCTAAAAAGTAAAGAAATCTACTTTGTAGTCGGCGAGGTGACATTGTCGAACAACCGAAATTTGGGATATTGTACGTGGCTATTAACAGTCTGCATCTTGGCCACATGCATGTCAACGGAATTGTTAAGAAACCATTCTTTCCGCTCCAATGAACCTCTACGGAATGTTAGGATTATTGTACTGACCTTCTTGGCTTCTCATTGTTCAGTGACAAGGTGTTTTCATCCGTTGAACTATTCATAGGGTAAACATCCAGTTTTTAAAGGAAACTAACATGTCCTTTGCAGACTGGAGACTATCTATAGTAAATGATAGTTTCTATGTTTGTCACTCAACGCATTCGTGAATGACGTTACATTTCAGAACTGACCAATTGTCATGTGGTTGGTCACAGTTTTTCAGGTGGATATCGACAAACTTCGTTGGATAGAGACAAAGTTCTTTGTCAACAATCCACAGCTTGGCTGCTATCATAAGTTGTTTCTTGCTTGGTACGTCTACAATGACGTATTGTTTGTTAGTGGGCTAAATATTACATAAGAGGTAATGAAATGGTGTAAGGTCATGACTTCAGCACAAATGAAAGAAAATACATTCACATAAAAGTATGTAACAATGGAACAATAACTAAATAATGGATACAATTAGTGGCAATACATTTACAGTCAATATCCTTAACCAATACCTATATGTGTTCATGGCTAGCTACCGAGCACATAAATATCCTTGTATTACTAGAAGGGATGGGATCTTCGAAGTAATGGCGTGGGTCTGTGAAAGACCTAGATTTTAGTAGTCCATTCTCCCCGATATTAGTAACTAAACCAGGCTTTCCGTGTACTACTACTACTACTACGTTATCTGGCTTAAGTTATTCTACTATTCTTATACATAATTACTTGTTTATGTGAGTCCTCCTTATCGGTTATTGGGATAGTATTAGTCGAAGTGCTCACTTAAAGTCTATCGCAGAAAGACAATTTCTCCGCATAACACTGAGCTGCTTGCTTTGCAACAGCATACCCGCTATGCACTGATTTCTTAATTTGTCTCATATAAGACTCGAATGGGAACGCTGAAAAACTATCTAAAGGTTCATGTGCACGGAAATCATCAGGAAGGTTCTGTAACAAATGCACATTATAAACTAAGTTTTCAGACCCATAAAACCATTCATATTCTTTAAGAAAGTTTCCTTAATCCATTCTGACGGATTCTACAACGCTATTATGTAATTTAGGATGTGCAAGCAAATAAACTGATAACACTGAACGCTTGAAATTAAGATACAAAGGTTTCGGCAAAGTTTTTTGTAGAACTACGGGGCCTAAATATGAAAGAAACAATCTACACTCCGAAGCTTTCCATACGGATACGAAGTCTAGTGTACGGCATTTACGCTGAAAGTCGGAGGGAGTACTTGCCACGCAACTAGATAGTAAATTATTTATATCCCTAATTACACATGAGTTCATGTTTAATAGTCTTTTGTGTGCTAATTCTACCCATAGATTGGCTGGTTTTTTTTGTGACACCTAAGTACACCATGTGCATGGGATCTAATGGAAAAGTTAAGATCATATTAATTGGAAGCGTTTCTAAAATGGAATGGCCTTGATGGTGAATAGATTGAGTCTGGCGACAAAAGCTACCGTCAGTTCGTACCATATATTCGCCATTTGGAAGTCATCTTCCCGTCGAGACGTCTACCAACTCCAATACACCTGTCGCAACCTGCCTTTCCATTGTGATTAACCGTGTATCTAACATCAGAACAAGCAGGCGCATCACATATTACAGCAGACAACTTAATAACTATGTATTTATTGAACTTAACACTAAGCAGATCCAAGTCAGTCATTTCTTTTGTCTCAGAAATGGTGTCCGCAGAAATTTCGTTGAATTTTGCTGGCTTAGTATTCCCTCCATAAATTCCTATCATGAACACGTCACTAAACCTTGGGGCAGACCATAAGTGTTGACTAGAGCTCCTTGAGATAGAAAGTCCATCTATATTAATATACAATTCTAAAGTATCAAAATCACCAATACACGACCAAAGTTCAATATATTTTAGCAGATTGTTTTTCATTCCGATATGGTAGTAAACCCCACTGCTGATGAACTTTGGTTGGACACTTGTGCACGTTCTCAGGACACTTCTAATGCTACTAGGTAAGTCGGGAACAAAATCTCAGAAATCATTCAGAATCCGATCAGCATCTCTGGTGCTTAGATATGTTTTTGTCATTAAATTCATCAATATCTTAGTGATATGCTCTTTACGGTTTACGGACTTCTGAGAGCACAAATTGACATCATGATATCCTATAACAAATATATTAACGTATTAATTTCATACGAGAACCATTATCATCCAGAAGCCTTTCATTGCTGCAGCTTGTAGATGGTGTTATAGTTGAAGGAATCTCATTACAATTAATATCTTGTTGACTACTATCAATTTAACATAAACCACTGTTAAAGTCAGTTACCTTTGATCGTGCTTTCATTAGCAAACTTACTAAACCAAAGCAAGTTATGTTTTATCATGAAAGCTGTCCCCTTTTTTTGCCTTTATTTCCCCTTTATTGGTTGATTGGGATGGAATAAAATGCGAACAGCTTTCATGATGAGACATAACTTGAGACAATTTTCCAATTTTAGATTGAGGCTGGAATGTCGGTCGTCTTCATATCTGCCTTTTTATATATTAGGACGAGCCCGTTCAACTGCTTGATAGACAATAGAAGCCGTGGACGTGAATAGAATGACCGTATGATCTCTCCTCATGGTAGGTGGAAAGAACATTATTTGACTAGCCTCATCACTTTGTGTGAAGACTAAGTCCAAGACAAACGAGGAGTTTGTTGGATCATATGTGGTTGGATCTTAATTTTCAAGCCGAGCATATAGATCTACGCCTGGTTTTAGAGTTGCATTATAATATTGGAATTCAATGTAGGAGCTACTAGACTGATACATGGTATCAGTCCGTATAATGCATTGACTGGTGAACTGAGGAATGAGTTGTAGACTCGTTTAAGTTCTTTTAGGCTATTATAACGTATGCTTGTAGATGTCATTTGCTGTAGCTTCATAATGTGCCTTCAAATGACTGTCTTTTATTCATTTTAGAGTTTAAAGTAAATAAACAGTCATTATGAGGTGGATCCCTCTAGAAGCTAATCCTCAGGTATTTTTGCGATTAGTTGATAATTCTTTTAGGTGCTGAATGAAGTACACACTATTTTAAAGATACATTTAATTTCTAACATTATAGTATATGAATAAACTCGGAGTTGTCGAAGAGTCATGGAAATTTATAGACATTTTTAGTTTGGATGATGATATGCTTGCATTTGTACCAGAACCCGTGATAAGCCTATTATTTTTATATCCTCTTGAAACTTCCATTGAAAATGCTTCATTAGGTGTTGAGGATAACTCATCCAAAGTTGTTTTGATCAAACAAACGGTCGGTAATGCTTGTGGAACTATAGCTATATTACATGCCATAGTAAATAATAAACAACATTTAAGCATCAAAGGTAAGTCATGACTTTTTCTTTCGTTCGAAATGTTTGAGATTTATCATACATTCTGGAGATGTCAATAAAACTTATAGTTCAAAACGAAATCCCATCTGTAAATATGCTAGACTTCTGTAGACAGAACTAATGTCTGAAAATAGACTTACATAACACCATGAAGTACTTTAGTAAATTTTTGGTGGACTTTCCTTCTTTGAGCCAGATGGTTTATTCGTGGAGCTTTCATCGTTCTTCTGAACAATATCAGCACACACTTCAGGTAGAAGTGAAGTGTTCGAATCCGAACATAGTGGCCAACATGTATGTTGCATCACTCACCCACCAATTTTATATTTGATACAACTTTTAATTAAAATTGTTCAATATTCACTACATTATCAGCAAAGTAGGTTTTCAAATGATGGTACTAAATGCTTTACTGTTTTTGGCACGTGAAAGTTAGAAAATGCTATCAGACGAAATGTGTCATACAACAGGTTTCTCAGTCCGTTTTGTAAAACTCATATTGTGTACTTTCTACTTTTAACCATCTTATCCTGAGTTTAAATTTTCGACGTTATTTTGCCGCATCTTTCCACTTCATATTTTCTTTGTATGTCATCAAGAAATGGAATTAGAATTAAGCTTTGGCTGATTGGTTGATAACAAACCATTTATTTCTCATTAATAGTAGTAATAGTAGATTTTAACTATGCTCTCTAATATAATATTTCAGATGGTTCCTTTTTGAGCAGCGTTTTAAAGGAATTCGAAAATAAGACACCTGCTGAACGTGGAGTTATCGTGGAGAGTAAGTAATTGGATTCATCCTGATTTATTTTTTCTACTAGAAAGAAATTTCTGCATTGCATGAGAAGTCAGCATTAGAAGGTCAAACAGAAGTTTGTTCATTTCTTTGAATTTTATATTTTGCAATCTTTATTTAGGCACCAAACGCTGAGTCAAAAACTAATTTGCACTTTGTATGTTTTGTTGAGCATGACGGATCTCTATATGAACTCGGTATGTTATGCCTATCGTAAACCTCGGAAATGTAATACTCTCACTGTATTTTAATATTTATTTGTGATGGATGTAGAAGTAATGAGTAACAAATGTAGTCGATAAATTAAAACATAAAATGAAGTATGGGAACTTAGGTTTTACTTTACCTCAAATGTTATATAAAGTAGGATTCAAGGTGATCATAATATTCTAGAAATATCACTTCCTATAGATCACTCAGTCTTAATCTTAGAAACTTTTGTAACTATCGTAATAAATCTAAAACTATGGCTCAGTGATGAATACATTTGATTTTTAATCATTGAGCCACAAAAAATATGGTTCTACGATTAAAGAAATTTGTAGTTTTTCTTATTAAGTTGCTTACAGGAATTCGCTGAATTGCTTTCTGAATAGTCATTCTTTTTTATATGTTTGTTTGTGATAACTTATACGATCCTCACGAATTATGTCCGACAGGTAGGCCATGATTGGTTGGAAAGTTAGTGACCTACAAACTGATTTCCTCCAGTTGACTATAATATTTATCATATTACATCATATTATCTTTTACATAAGCAAGTCATTTTGTTACATAAAAAACCCATCCTTTTGCCAGTGGTCTTGTTTGTGATTTACAATTATCCTTGGTTTACGTCAGTAATGTGGTCTCCTGAGAAGCCATCATTGAATGTTACCGATCGGTCAGTATTTTAATTATTTATTCTAAAAACGGAAAATTCGTTGATCAAACTGTAGATCCCTAATCCATAAAAGTAATATCAACATGGTTATTCATACAATAAAGTATTGACAGAAATAAGTCTATTTAACTATTTCAAAATAGCTATCACCTTAACTTCCTTAGAAATAAAGAAGCTTATTCGTTTCTACAAAATTTAAAATAAGTTCTGACCATCATAAGTTTAGAGGTCAATCTTCAGTTTTACTGCGAATTTATCGCACTCTAAAAATGGACTCATCCAGTAGATGTAGATATGACAGTAGAAAAGATTTTATTACTGGCTGCACTCAATGTTCACTTCTGAGCACTCATTTTGAATCATGATAATTGGTGTGGAATAATGGTTTGCTGTATAAGGCATTGAATTTTCAGCCATTACGTTAAACGTTTGAATTTTTAGTTTTGACTAGTCGCGCACTATTTTTGGTTCTCACACAACATAGATCACAAACGAGCAAATGAATCTACATGACTGCTGAGTCGTATAAATGAGGAATAATCAATTTTGACTGAATAATTACTAGTTTTTTTCTAAGTATTAACTCATTTGCTCTTTTTCCGTAATATGAGACTATGATATGATGTTTTTGGTTTTTGAGGATTTTACTTTCTTTATGATCACAGTCACCATTAAAATAATGTAGTTTACGATCACAAATCTGTTCAGTATGTTTACATAAAGTTATATTAATCAGGATCGAATAAAAGTTTCTAGTTATGATTCTGATCTTTTGTCACATTTGTTCAAAATTGATTATCACAATAAGTGATAAAACATTTTTACTACATGCGTACAGATTTTATTTTCACAAAAGCGGTCTCCAGATTGTCATGTAACGTCATTGGAATTCGAAAAAATATTCTCATAACTTGAGATAGACCATACTGCTCTCATTTGCTAGTCAGATCTAATTATTTTAGTTCCATAACCCAGATGACTGATGAAATGCTTAAGGTCTATAATAACATTCCTAACAAATTTTTATCAACATTTTCTCTAAACACTTCTCCAGTGGCGATTAAATTTGTAAACAAATGTTGTCCCTTATGAAATTATTATTCATGAAGTGATTATAATCAAATGGAAGTTTAAGGTAATTGAAGTGCAGTCGTACATTCGAATTTAATCGTCAAAGAATTCCTCTGTATATGGTTAGTATAATCGCTTGTCATTTATCATATTTTTAACTCCAATGGTATCAGGTTTGAAATTATTTTAATATTTTATTCTAGATGGTCGAAAAAATGCACCTGTTCTCCATGGATCGATAACATCAGCTGGTTTTCTGAAGGATGCATGCAATGTAGTCAAAAAGTTCATCACTCGTTTACCTGGAAGTGTAGAATTCAGTTTGATGGGATTATGTTCTGATAATAACTGACTACAATAATTAATTTTCCTGTGTTTTTTGCACTATATCTCCGTTTCAACTACTTGTAACACATCATTTAACTGCATTTTCTGGTATACATTGCTATTTGATTTTTGTACGATTTCTATAATTAAAAAACAAATCAGTCATACATTGTTTATGTTTCTTATACAACTGTTTAATGAAATGTTTTGTGTAATTGAAATAATGAAACGAAAAACAATAAAGTATGACAGTAGAATTACGTAAATTCTATTAGTTGTAAACTTAAGGCATAAGTTTAACAAAATAAAAATAACCATAAATGGAGATTAGATACGTGTCCGTGAATTTCTAAAGGGCCCGTTTTTGTCCTATTTGTATGCATTATCAGGCATTTTCCTCTCACTTAATGTGTTAATGTTGAATGCAGGAGTATAATTTTCACTAAGAATTTCAGGTTCCAACTTTCACTCTGTTTACTTTTTTCATCCAATAATTTGGGCTACGATACAGTGGCATAGCTTCAGAGGATTGAAATGAAATCCACGGTAAGAATTATGGCCGCATGTGCAACACATACATGAAATGAACAAGAACACACTAGATATCGTACTTTTATAGGACAAGAAGTGGATACCCGACGTCCAATGTACGTTGGTGAATACTGAATGTCTCCCTTGTGGGATTGGGAAACCCTGAATTCCAACTAGTTGTGCACATGTAATCCTGAATCATGAGTGGACAAACAAACCTATCACTGATTTCGATGGACTTGCTTCTGACATTGGGACAACTTTGTGGATTCGATCTTGAGATCGAAAGCTTGGGGTGATCCTAAAGAAACCACTTGCTCTGGTTTGGGCGTTCATAGTCTATCACTCACCACACAAAAATAATGATAACGAAGGGGAAAATGAACTGCTCGTTGTTGACCCAGACACTAGTCTGCCTTTTCTTAATCGTTAGCTCAGTAAAAATCCAATAGTCGAAATCCTGGTTTACTCTTCTAGTTCCAGATGCTATTTCAGCTATTGACGAATTACTTTCCTTAACCATTGAGATGTCTAGGCTAGCGTGAATAACCTTGATCACAAAATAATCCTGGTCTTCATTGCCTCAGCGATATGGGTGTATGCGTTTCTTCTAGCCCAGTGTTCAGTGCAATAATAAAACTTAGTAAAGTAACTTATGTAAACTAATACAGTAATATAGATTAATTTTCTGATCACACATCAACACGAGTAGGGAATTTCAATGTAGGGATAATTACGCAAAAAGTAGAAGTGGTGGGAGGTAAAATATGAATGGCCAATTAACTAAAATTAAGGAATGGTAATAAAGTACAATAATGACTTATGGGTCCATTGGAAGCTTACACTAAAGAGAATATAATAATATAGTGATACATTTACCTAATAATCATACAATAAAAATATCGATAATATAAATCTGTAAATTAGTTCAAAAAGTTACACTTGTACCGATACTCGGCCCATCATAACGGCATTCTTTCTTGATATAACAAAATGTTTATTTCTTGAATAAGTAAATCTAGACATTTTATATTAAAAGTCAATAAATCATAACCATAAATTGTATACTAGAGAAGACTCATCAATAATGTTAAGCATTAAATAGTGACAAATTTCTAAACAAAAAATAGAAATTTAGGTACAATACATATTCAAATGTATATAGATTATGAAAGGAATTTTCTTCACAAACTGACATCATTTAGAAAAACGATCGATATCAAAGATCACTAAACAACTGCTTCTTAGCTGTTTAGTACACCTTAACAATATAGAGTTAAATCTTCACCTAGGATTGAGCGCTACATTCTGTAATATCTCTTTATACATAAAATTACTCAATCGTTGAATTCCAATCAAATGGTTATTACTGATACAAAATTATTCATATCCTTGTCCTTAAAGTTTTTATAGTTTCTTTTCAATTATTAAATCCTAACAGTTTTGAATGAGACTTATGTAATTTATTTACTTATTCAAGTATTTGTTTTCAGATTAAATTAATGTTGAATAAACTTTCACGTGATGCCTCATATAAATATTGTAGTAGTTCAATCTATTGTTCTATTCTTTGTTTGTTTTATGTATTTATAATACTATACTATAAACTGTATGAAATATTCTAATTAAAAAGTTAATTATGGTTGAGAGCATAACTGTACCTAGTAGTAGTAATAACTTATTATATGCATTAACATCTCATACATTTCAAACGATCATTGATTTTTATAGTATTGTAGGTTCCTTCTAACAATGATCAATCTTAATTTAAGCGTTTAATAGTGAATCCAATTATTTTAAAGTATTCAATACTATTTACGAATAAAAGGAAATATTGTTGCTGAACTAGAAAATTTTAATTTTATTGCTTCGGTATGATTTTGGCAAATATTTTATTTGAGCGCTATAAGTATTATTGACAAATCAGAGTATCTACAAGTTCATATTTAAAACAAGCATAACTTGGTTAATTGCAGATAATGTGAAACCCCTGTACTACTTGTTTCTATTCAATAAATCATAAGAGAATTGATGTTCCATTTAGTATTCAAACTCGCATCACTAATTTTCCTCTTAACTATCTCCAATCATTTAATTTCTCAACATTTTGCACGTGATGCATGGTCAGTTGGACTGGAGGGAATATTACAATATGATCGATAGGATTCGATCAGCATTTGAGACTAGACATGTTATGTGGATGATATATTTCGGAATGATTGATCGACGTTATTTGTTAGGTTCGCAAATCAGAATTTTGACTATAATTTTCAAATGCCTCATCTGCTATTCTATCTATGGTCTAGCATATTTATCCTTAACCAATTGATAATGCAATCTGATTGACAAAATTTACGTTGAGCTAACGTAAGCTGAACATCTATCAGTCTACCCCCTACCCCCAACCTCGAGTTCGACAAAAGTCTGCAGTCAAACCTTTGGACTATATTTCAATAAATCAACCCAGCAGCTAACTCAAGCATTCATTAATTTGTATACATGAAAAACCAAACTAGATCATAGCGTAAAATATTAAAGCACAGTTATTACACAAGTATGCCGAAATTGGTTGTAAACCAAGCAATCTGTAAATTATTAGTTAATATGCCAAACGGAAAATTAAAATTAGAGAAATATAGAAGCAGTGTTCCAGTTACTTAGTAATTATAGAATAAATCTATCCATAATAATATTTTGAAAAGTAGTTGAAAAATTTCCAACCAGTTCAGTTATAACAATATTCGTCACTACTACTACTACTACTACTACGGTAGCGGGAAGTAAAATATATATTAATTTAGAAAATATGTACTTATATCAAGATCATGGTGCATTTAACCTAACGATTCGAAATTCGGTGGTTCATATTTTGTAACTCAGTCAGTTTGTGATATTGTATGAACCCTATCCAGTGTTACCAGCTCTCGATTTGACTGCGTTCTGTAGGTCACATTATATCCTGAAATGATTGAAGTTGGAAGCGTAGGCTAATGGATCCCAACTGAGTGACTGAATAGTTAAGCGCTTGCTACGAAACCTTGAGTCCATGAAATATATCCTTTGAAGTATCATGGGTGCATACTCCTGAAGAGCCTCTTACAAAAACGGAACAGCCGTTTCCTTTTCCCTGGTTTTGAATTGTACTCCAGCTGATGTCACTATGTGACGAACACCATATACAAGTTTTGAGGAACAGTCTCCAAATAACAAGAATAGCCAATAAGGCGTAAACTTGTTCATTTAAAATATATATGTAACCTCAATTTTCGAAACGGAATGATTAGTTGAAGGTCACAAGCTGTCTTTGGAATGATAATTTAAGATAGGCCATTCAAAAGTGACAAAAGCATTGTAGTTACTCAATGTTGAACAGAAAACTTAAGCCCTAATTTATTGCGACCTCATGTAAATGACTTTTTCAGAAAAGAACTAACGTGAAAACAAGTTTAATTAGTAAAAGAAACAAATTGAATAAAATAACAAATACAATCACGTTTAAGTATAGTGATAAACGTGATTCATTTTAAATTTTTTTATGGTGCATACGTATTGGTGTGTGTTAATGCCAGATTAGGCTCTAACTGGTTGATTCGATCTGTCATTTTATTAGTTGTATGAAATGTATTATAATTATCAGCACTTGTATTTTGCACAAACAAGAATAGTTCGACAATCTCCACAACCCACTATGTTTGTTTGTTGTTGGATAGAAAGAGTTAATTCGTTACTGTTTTATAATTTTTTTAAATTCGTTTGTTGTAAGTTGGTGGCAATATAAAACTAAAGTATCAATTCATGGGTTTTTTTTTCCGGTTTTCCTTCCAAGAACTAACTGCTTTTTCCAAACATAGTTTCAATAATATTCGTTGGGAAACTATTTGGATTGTAGTACACTTATTATACAGCTTTTGTTCATTTTGTTCTGTTGTAATTTTAGTTGCTCTGTTGAATATATGGAAATCAAAATATAGTTTAGTTCTGGAAAGAATTTCTTATTTGATTGTTTCTCATCACCATAAATGACTATATTAAGTGTTCCATTCAAATTTCTTTTAAATAAGCAGTCTTGAGAGGTGAATTCAGTTTTGTTTTTTTAGAAGTATGAATATGATATTAGAGTAATAATTTTTGATAATTTTAATAATTGAGATCATAAGTCAATTGAAGCTAGACCACTATGGAAAACATGGAAGCACTGGTGGTTTAGCTTCAATTGACTCATGATCTCAACTATTAAAATTACTGTTATATCCACAAAACCCCTTCTGAAATTATTGATAAGTTTAAAGACAGTCCTTAAAGATTATTTTTAATGATAGAAATGTATTGTCTACATATGTCAGTAGAATGAGCGATATTATAACACAAATAAAAAAATTTAATTCTCTGTTGGTCATAAGTAGGTGTGTGAGTGACTGTGATTATAGGTAAGTAACCTATTTATGAACACTAAAGAAATATTTATATAAGCACAAGTATATAATGATATAACCA